TCTCTCTCTCTCTCTCTCTCTCTCTCTCTCTCTCTCTCTCTCTCTCTCTCTCTCTCTCTCTCTCTCTCTCTCTCTCTCTCTACCTCCGACTAAGCCTAGCATGCCCCTGTGGCGTCACAAGTTTCCTGCATGACCCCTGTCAGTGAGGAGTGCAACTTTCGAGCATGCCCCTGTGGCCGTTGGTGGCACTTGAGGCCGTTCCCCTGGCCCTGGGAGGGGAGCTAGGGGTCATACTGGAAATTTGGAACCGGTACCGGCAGGGGCATATTGAACATATTTCAGTCTCAAAGGACTCTGTTTTTTTTTCCAAAACTTCAATCGTTTCAGAGGGGCGTGATCGGGTAAGTCGGTTGTTGGAGGGGCATACCTCATAAATGGAAGTCGGAGGGGCATTTCAAAAATGTTTAGGACTAATGACTGTAAGTAACATTGTCAAAGGCAGTGGGGAAACTACCCTGGAATCACAAAAAAAAAGTTATAATTGTAGTATGGGCCAAGATACAGTTTCGAATTGAAGTTCAGGCAATTTATACAACCCAACTTTCTAGCCAGGTAGGGTGCCTAAAGTGCACTTGCATATTGTATTTCGCCCCATAGTATAATTATAACTTGTTTTTGTGACTCTACTAAACTTACCCCCAGTTCATGGAGGGTCAAATTCCCCTCCGATATTTCTTCAATCACAATGCCCCTTAGTCGGAGCTAATGAACCTAAATGGGTTGCCAAGACTCTGACAATTGATCAACAGCAATTAGCTGGGCCCGTTTCCCATCAATTCTTTCATTAATTGGGACACTAGGCCCGATTCCTAGCAAGGTACGCTGGGCCCGTTTCCCAGCAACAGTTATTTTGTTGGTTATATTATGATGTGAGGGACGCTGGATCCATTTCCAGCAGGTGCAGTTCCCACCAATAGATGGAGCCTTCAACATGGGACCCACTCGAAGGGGATGCTCTTATCACCTCCTCAAGCGGACCTCACATCAGAATAGAACTTCCTGAACGGGGGCTAGGTCCCACTTGCACAAATTAAAAGATACTGACCTTAGATAGCAAAGATCAACGGTCGAGATCTCCTAATTTGCGCAAGTGGGACCTTGCCCCGGGTCCTGAGCGGACCTCTTATCACCTTTTCAGGCGGACCTGACATCTACAGTTATTTGTTGGTTCAGGAAGTTCAAAAAAAAAAAAAAAAAAAAAAAAACGGGCGGTCACATGCACGGGACCGGAGCGCAGGTACCGGGCGAATAGCGCGAGCGCTCCGGTATCAGCGCCGTTACGCATTCACTGTGCATAACGCTGTTCGCCTGCGGACTTAGTCATCACGACGGGGAGCAGGACAGAGTTGATGCACGCCCCCCCATCGAGGGCGGAGGCGAAGCCTCAACGCATTCTCCTCGTTGAACAGTCCAGGTAGGGTAGTAGGGATCACCATAGCCAATGCGCACCCGCAATCGACAACGGGGCTGTAAGTAGGTGAACCAGACGATGAAAGCCAGACTAGGTTGTTCATACCGCGCAAGCAATACTTTGCAACGGAAGTCACCAGGGTAATTACGCACTGCCTAGTTGAATCGAAGTGAAGCTCAGTAGAAGAAAGCTTACATGCGTTCGCATCTGGACCGGATCGTCCGATAGGGCCTAGCCTACTCGACAAGGAGGGGAGCAGTTTACCAGAGTCGGAAAGTTACGAATGGGCTATGTAAGCCATTTTGACGAGGCCGCGCTACCTTCCTGATCACGTAGGAAATCCATCGGAATGGGAGTTGCCCCGTCATTAAAGAAAGCGTAGAGGTCATGGAGCGCCCTCTCATCTCGGGGAAGTGAAAGCAAGCCTCCCTCGAGGTGAAAGGGAGCTAGCCCTGTGCTCCCGGATGGTAAAAGCGAACCCTATTCTGCCTTGCATCCTCCACAATTATACCTAGTAGAATTGAGAGGCAGCGTGATGCACGGTAACCTAGCTAGAAGTTCGGTACTTCAGGTGTGCCCTAGCAAGGAAACGGGATAATTCGCTCGTGGTACCAATGTTTCCGCTGTCATCCGACCGGGTTAAACAACCACTTCCTCGTTAGGTTGCAGACACTCTGCAACGAGGGCCAATCACCGCAGTAAAAAGTTACAAGGTAAAGATCCGATGCCCATGAGCTGGAAACGAGAGAGTAATCACGTGTCAACTCTTCTCCATCCGCATGTAAACTTCGGAGTAATCACTGGAGACACTCCTCTGAAATCAAGTTAGTGCTTATAGTCTTATCGAAGTAAGTCGAGTTGCAGGCACGACTAATTCGGACCAGGATTAACACAGTCCGGCCAAGCGCCCCGGGTATCTTACACTATAACGACCTCGTGCACGGATCCGGTGGGCAGCACCACGCTCTGGCTCTCACACCCATCCCTCTGGTCCCCTTTTTTATGTGCCTCTCCCTATCGTTCTTCGTGATTCAAATCCTAAACTGCTTCGTCAATTGAAGATCTTAGCGACATCCGGTACAGACGAGTTAAGCAGAGCATAGGCGATCTGCGAAGACAATCAAGAGATTCGAAGAGGTCGAACGGGGGAAGGAGGGTCTTTTCACAGACGATTCAGGTCTCCCTCCCCCGCCCTTCCTTCAATCCCGAGAGCAGGGCGCAGGTGGGGGGAGGTAGTAAGTCAGTACAGTTCCTTGAAGGTATCAGTCCGGAAGTGTCGGGTATCTTTACCCCTGCAGAGGTGGAGGTTACCGCAACATCTCGTTGTCCATTCTGAGTCCAATATGAAAAGTCGGCGTGGTGGTAAAGTGGGGAAGGGGCTGCAAGCAGTTTCTGCCTCAACCGACTGAGAAACGTACGGAAAGGTAGCAGCATCCGAGAAATCGGGCGATCCCCTCAACCAGGAAGCGAACTGCAAGGTAAAGCAGCGGACGGAGATACAGCCAAGCGAACCGAGGAAGAAAGACAACAAGGAGCATCAAGGAACAACAAGGAGCAGCAAACGGACTCACAGTTGAGCGGACTGAACCAGGACAACGGCGATAGTCACAGCAACAACGCGAACCAGGTGAACTCTGCGTTCCAGACCCACCCAGAGGGACACAACGCAGGACCAGGCGGAAGGAGGAGGGCAGGGACTGTATAGACCGGCAATGCTCGGAGGGAGACAAGCTCGAGTCAAAGAATCTGTCGGAAAGTGCTATGATGAAGGGACTTGTCCGGATGAGGTGGATCTAGGAGAGGTGGTGGAAGATGGGGAAGGGAAGAGGTTTGTGGTCTATGAGGCGGTGGATGGCATTAAAGAACAGTGGCTAAAAGAGCGCACTGTCATTATAATTTTTCAGGATGAAGCAAGAGGTCTGTCCAGGCAGGTGAAGTTGGATCTGGTTCGAGCCTACGAAGATGGGTGGTTTGCTCGCAAGCTGTTCAATCTGGATATAAAAAGGGGTCGGGTGCGTTTTGAAGGACCCAATGTTATATTGTATGTGGCAAAGGCAGGCGAGGTGGCAACATGGCTAATTGAGCAAGGGGAAGCCATCTTAGAACTGCAAGACAAAGAGTACCGTGCGACCTTCAAACCTTGGATGACTCGACAAGACTTGAAAAAGCTGCGTCTACAAGAGGCAGAAAGGAATTTTTGGATAGTGGCGTTAAGAGTACAACTTGATGCGTATTACTATCTGAGAAGCGCAGTCACCAAGATGTCCGGCGAAGTCCTAAATATGCATCCTCCTAAATTCGACTCTACACGGCCAAAGCTAATGAACGTGAAACTGGACATGTCCCCAGATGCCCGCTTCCGAGTGGACGACGAGTTGGTGATTGAATCGTCGAAAGGGGAACGGTGGAAAGTGGAGGTAGCAACACCATACACAGACTGGTGTCGCCGCTGTAAGTGGTATTTCCACTTAGACGAGAATTGTCCGAGGGCAAGACAAGAAGAAGAAAGGAGAAGAGGTGGTGGACTGAAGCAGGGATGACATAGGATTCGGTTCCAACAACATCTCCAAAATGCTGAGAGAGAGAGAGCGAGAGAAAGACCGCGTGCAAGGGGGGGCGCTGGTCAGATGCCATAAGGGGAAATGCAGCAGTACAATAGCAGGGGGAACAAGACTCACTCCGGAGCGGTCAATGCCAATCGCACAACAGGGGCCCAACGGTTTTCCAACCATGAGGGCCACGGACCTGGAAACCAAGGAGAGCCTATCTATGCAGTTGCACATGTCAACAGCAGGAGAGAGAGACCCACAAGCATCGACAGGGAAGGCATCAGTCAGAGGCTTTACTACCATGGCAGTGGGAATCTCGCAAGAGTGGGACCAGACCATTGGTACCCACCCTCAACGCCAGTCTTCTCAGATAGGGATCATTGGCCTGCAAATGCTAGTGTTGGGGGGCCGCCTTATGGAGGAGAGAATCTCAACAAGGAAGGGTACAAGGTACCTCCTGTCCATCACATGTGGCAGAATCGATCGGCCTACCCCTACCAAGAAGGGTATCAGGGTAATTGCCAGGATCAGGATGGCTGGCAGAATGGGCAATATCAGCAAGGAGGCGCTTTGCAGTTTCAACAACACATTTTCCAACCAGAAGTTATGCTCCATTCCCAACACAGTATCCCAGCCCCCCCAGATCGCCCCATACCAAGGTATCCTATAGGTCTTCAGGAGTGGAGGGGCACGACAGCACGACGCCCAGTCCCTGCAATGTCCGCAGATCGACACTCAAGACCAATGCAGTATGCGGACCACGTGTACAGGCAGACAACAGAAAGAAATGACCCAGACGGAGGACGACCAAGGTGGAGTTCATGGAGAGAGGGTAGCTCTAGACAAACGCACCGAGCTTAACGGAGGGCAAAGCAAAGAACTGAAGGCAGCAGACAACGGCCAGTCACCATTCCAGAGGAAGACATACGGCTAGAGCTCTCCAAAACCTCAGTAACATCTCAGTCAAGACTCCGGATGGACAGTGAATCGGAAGGAGGTGGACACCAGTTACCGGAGGACCTCTCATCCTCATCGATGGAGAGCTCCGCACAATCAAGACAACTTAGGGAAGGCGGGAGGACTGCAAACAGAAGGTTGGTCCCAGACAGCAGCTAACGAGCGGACACTGTGCACAAAAGTTACTCAGAACTGGTAAAAAGAAGAATTATCCCCTTAATGTGCACTCAGGCAAATGAAGGCGTCTTCTTTTTGTCAATGGCTGGCCCTGAAGGTCAAACCTTTATTTCGTCCACAGAGATTGGTTGCACCCTCACGCCGACACTCATCATGGAAAAGACCCGGGAGCTGTATTGTACTCACATCCCAGTCAGAATCATCCCAGGCTCCACGATGATAAATCTCATCCTAGAGACCAGAGATGGCTACTGCAAGTTTTACTTTCCATTACTTGATGCACGAATCCCTCCGGAATCAGCGGAAGCAATAACACAATCTGGCATCCGGTGGAAGAACCTGCACATAGTGTGTGAACAAGGCATCCAAGAGATGGATTCCATAATGGTGGTACCTAGTATCTGCGCGTCAATTCTTCTGAACGTTAATGAGAGACTGCGAGAAGAGGAAAACCTGCACTCGAAATACCTACGCAGATTACTTTTTGCAGAGTGGGGTTCCTTATCTCGTGCAAGTTCTTCACGAGGCAGTTCAAGAAACAGCTCGAGACAGATGTCCACATCCAGAACAGTTGCTGACACAGCTCATCAACATAACAGTCAAGAGGAGTCCACCCGCATCCAACTGCAAGCGGCCACCAACCAGCCTCATGAATAGACTCAATATTGCTACTTGGAACTTAAGAGGGCTAGGGGACACGACAGGCAGAGAAAAGAAAAGAAGGGTGAAGAGTTGGGTTCATGAGTGGAAGGTGAATTGCCTGCTGATTCAGGAGTCGAAGCTGAATGAGGCGAAGCTAGCGGAATTGGGGAACTGGTGGGAAGGGTCACAGGTGTGGGCCCCGACACAAGGCACAAGAGGGGGAGTTGGTATCCTTCTTCACCAGGATTTGCAGGCAAGAGTTCTGGAGTCAGAAGCTGACTTATGGGAAAGATGGGCATGGTTCAGGGTGGAAGTGGGCAATGAGGAGTGGTCTATCATGACAGTTTATGCACCTACAGACAAGAGAGAAAGAGTAAGCTTCTTTGCGAATCTGATGCTTCACATTCCAAAAGTAGAGAGACTGATAATCACAGGCGACTGGAATCTGACTCTAGACGAAGTCCTACAACCTAACGCAAGATCAGCCAACTGAAGGGGTGTCCAAACCCTCCTGGAACTGGCGACCGAGTTGGAACTGTCGGACCCATTCAGATTGATGTCACCGGAAGATCCAGGTTATACCTGGGTCTCCCACTGGCACATGAATAGGGAACTGCCAACCAAGCGAAGGCTGGACTTCTTCTTAGTGAGCAACGCAACTCTGGAATCGGTCATGTCAGTACGGCCCATCTGCCACCCGGTATCTGATCACAAGCCAGTGGTGGCAGAAGTGAAGCTACATACAGCGGTGGAGAGAGGCAAGGGATTGTTCGGACTGAATACCGAGAACCTTGAGGATCCGGGCCTTGCAAAGTGGCTAAAAAACCACGTAGCAAGCTGGGAGACAGCAAAAAATCTCTTCCCATCAACGGCGGAATGGGTACACAGCGGTCTGACCATCGCATCAGGGGTCATGAGTGTGTGCTCAAAACTTCTGGCCAAGTCTCAAAACCAAAAGGAAGCAGCATGCGGAAGGAGGGTAGAGGAGGCGGAAGAGAGGATGGAAGGGCACCCGATCTCGGCATTGGTATGGGCAACGGAGAGAGAAAGGAGACTGGCGGAGTGGGACAGCCTGCAGGAGGACAAGGAGAAAAGATGGCTAGAGCTGCTGAAGGTGAAAGGGATTGAGGTGCATGACAAGATGTCCAAAGAAATCTTCCAACGGTTGCAACCAAGGAGACTGCAACAACAGATGATAGAGTTGCGCCATCCTTTTGACGCTGATGCTCCTAGGGCCTCTTTCGCCTCGGAAATGCTGTCATATGCACAGTTGTATTACAAGGACATCCTGACAACACGTCGCCCGCATGAGGACGTTAACACTGACCTGGCGAGACATCTGATATGTAGGAAGAGACGACAGTCAGCCTGTCTACATCAGCTAGACTGGACCTGGATAGACCAATTACAATGGAGGAAACCACTCAGACACTCAAGGAGATGGCGCGAGGAAAATCACCAGGTCTAGACGGGCTGGCCGTAGAGTTCTACGCACATAACTAGGGGGAAGTTGCACCAGCACTAGTGCACATGTACAATGAAGTACTGAGAGGTGGCAGACTAGGGAGAGGAATGACTCATGGAGTCGTAGCTATGCTGTTCAAGAAGGGGGATAAATCGGACGTCAAAAATCGGCGTCCCATCTCGCTACTAAACGTTTCCTACAAAATCTTGGCGAAGACTCTTGCACGGAGACTTGCCAAGTATGTAGCGGACCCACCAGGTGTGGTGCTCCGCTAATGACAGAGATGGAGATGGAGGAAGAAGGGGGGGAGCGAGATGGCACAACGCAGCTCCCCACGCAAGACTCCAACGCACGTACTCCAAAATGTGCAAGTTAAGAATGAGGCTGAAAACAGACAATGGCTGGGGTATACCCCAGCGGACTGACGGGACTGGACTGGCCTACCCCGAATACAACACAGGCCTGTGAGAACAGGCCTAGGGGCTGGTCTCACAGGCCAACCCGAGGTCTGCTACACGATCCTCGGCCTGTGATGGATCGCCTAGATACAAACATGCTTCCGCCAAGAGGCGGAACTCTTCCAAAGAAAATAAAACCTGAGTAGTCTAGGATGCGGAGCAAGCTCCATGCTGAGTCCATGCGATGCAACCTAGGATATAAAATGTCACAAAACAGCAATGTCACAGCTAACAGCCTAAGTGAAAGTAGAAGCAACTAACTAACATACATGTCCTAGGAAAGCAAAAGCAACTAACKAGCATACATGTCCTAGGAAAGCAGAAAGTAGTGACAACTAGATTCTAGAATGTTGGAGGCACTAGCCTCAGTCTGGTAACAACTGACYAGTGWATAAGTCCTAAGAACARCAAAAGCAKRACARCTAAATCCTAKAAATGTCGGAGGCARTAGCCTCWGTCTGAGAGCATCAAAGCAATCAACAAGACAACCATATGTCACATGAGAAGTGTGTCGCAAACCAAAGGGTGGGATGGTCTCTGAGGGTGGCGAATGCAGCCTAGGGGTCGAAACTCCTAAGGGCATCCACACATAGATAACAGGGAGACACATGTGATCAGGCTCAATGAGGGTAGGGAACTTGAGAGCGAACAGGACCAATGACCCTAACAGATACACCATCAGGGCGGGTAATGCTCGACTAAGGGGTGACCGCTATGGAGGGTCGACCATGGGAATAAGGGAGCCTGGTATACTGGGCGCACCTAGATGAAGCATGCGGGGCTGCCTAACTAGGGCGTGAGGGCCGGCGAAGGGTAGAAAGATGATGGGTAAGGGAATCATGCAAATGACTCCTTAAGTGAGGGAAGTC